GGGCCGCCCCGGTGGCTCCCTCCAGAGCAGCGCCGCCGTCCCGCTCCTACCTCGCGTGCACCGTGGCGGAAAGGGCGGAGAGGGAGCGGAAACGGAAATACGGCGCGGGAGGGAGGTACTTCCGGCGTGGCGGCGTGACGTCACCAGCGCGGGCGTGCGCCCGTTAAATGGGCGCGAAGGGTGCGTCACCTCTGATCCCCTCCCCCCGCCCCGGGAGAGGGGCGCCAGCCGCTGAGGGGGAGTTTGTGTGTCCCCCCCCCGAGGGCCTCCCTTCGTCATGGTGCCGTGAACCTGAGGGCCTCGACGGCCCCTCGGGGCGGCAACCGAAAGACCATTCCGAAACAAGACGTTTGGTTACAAAACACATATCAAAACAGTGTTTATTTCACAGCATCTTAATTTCACAAGGGGGAAAAGAAAACCCCAAAAAAAAAATGGAACAGGCTACAACTCAAGGCTCTTAAATAATGGAGTAAGACAGAAACATAACTGTATTGTTTACATAAAAATGTACAGGCTCTTAGCAAGAGTTCCGGGTGCTGGGTCAGCCCAGCATCTCCACAGGGCACGCAGCGCTAGGCCAGCCCTCGGCATGAACCCGCGCTTCTCTCCAAAGCAAGAGGAGTTGGGCGGTAAAAAATGGAAAGCCGGCAGATCCACGCATTATTTTGGGTCCCACTTCTATTAATGGCCAAAGTAGTAATAGTCCTCTGCCACATGGTGGCAGTTTGTAAGTGAAAAGATAAATATCTCCACGCAGGACTGCAAGCTACGCTTTAGAAACAGAAAAATCAACACATAACGCACACACAAGTTACCCTATCTCTGCAGAAGGGCTGTTTCTGCACAGAGACCACAACAGGTACCGATGAACACACCACAGGTTACACCTCTGGACAACAACAGCCCCAAACCCACGCTCTACCAGAGCACAGCGTTTCAACGCGTCGTTTCTGGCCTGCATTCCAAACAGCTTTGGAGCTCAAGAACATTGCGTGTGCCCAAGCGAACGTTTAGAGTAACCTTTAGACAACATTCAGCATTCTGTAATTTAATGCTCCTTATCCTAATTTGTTCGTCTGAAAGAGAAAACAAAAGCTTGCCGGTTTATGACGTGAAACCGTAGATTCTGGGAGTGTAACTCCAGCCTGAAGGCCCAGTGCAATTAGACAAACTTCCACTGAATAGAGACTGCAAAGTGTTGCAAACCAAAGTGCGCTTTTTTTTTCCTCTTAGATGGTCAGAAAGTTATTTTTTTTAACAGAAAACTCTTTATACACTAAAAGAATTTCCCAGAGAGAGGCATTTTCTGACTTCAGTCATACTAACTGAAGCGTTCTTACTGTTTCTGGAGATACTGTGTGAGAAATTTCTTTGCTCAGTTTTACCTCTTTCCCCTCCCCTAATGACTCTAGGAAGTGGTGGACACTTCAGTTGTTTTCACCACTGTTTGCTTATTCAAAGGCTCATTATACGCTAGATGTTCAGTACATCACTATTTTTTGCATGCAAGGACAGTTACATTCAGTAGAAAGTTTAACTAATAGGCAATTTTTTAAACCTTTTGGAAGATACCTGGCAAGCCTATTGTCTAACTTATTAGCTACCATCTCACTTATGGAGACTGGAGAGTCCTTCTGTGTTAGAAGTCAGAACATATTAAATTTTACACAAGTAACTTCAAGCTACATACAGTTGAACACAGTTACAAAAGATTTGATAGTCACTAACTATTATATATGAAAAATACATTTCGAGCCCTACTTAAAGAGGAAGGGGCTGCAGTAAAGTTTGCTGCAATTCTAATGAAGCCAAGTTAGCTTCAGACAAAACACAGCTGAAGAGCGAAGACTCAGCTTTGGTTTTGCCCAACACCAACATTTAATACAAGGAACAGGAATTTACATTACTTTACATATTAGATAGCAGGTCTCTTACCTCAGAACAAGGTCTAGTATTTCATTTAGGAGTCAAACTTAAATTACAAATTTCCCAGTCGTAAAAGCCAAGCATCAGTTTTGTTCCTTGCAAGAGGACACAGTTACTTGTACCATAATATTGCTTCAGAAAATAAACCCAAGAGCCAGTATCACAGAAGGTTCCACATGTCAGAGTTTGTTCCCAACCTGGACATTTTAAAAATAATGAAGGAATAGCCAATGGTCAGAGGAGTTATGTAGCCTCTGCGTAAGCATCAGAGCGCTGCTGGGCACCAGAAGTGGCTGTTCAGATGTGCAACAAATGCCAGTTTTATGAGGACCATCACAGTGATGCAATGCTTGGAAGAAAGGAGTGAAAAAGTAGCATTTTAAATATTGATCATGCTTTGTTTCATTGGCTTAGTTCGGCAGCAGTAGCTCTACTGACTTCAGTATTTGCTCAGAGCACATTAAGACCATATATAATACAGTCGTACTAAAAAGGTGCTTATTTCAGACTATGTAACACTGAAACAAAAGTCATAAAAGATACATCTGACAGCAAATTGCTCTTAGTGAAGCGCTCATCTTCCACTGAGGACTGAATTAGGATGGCAGTCGCTTTGCTGCAGTTCCCTTGTTCAACACGTGGTATTTCATGACAGATTTTCAAACAATCTTTCCTTTGTAAATAAAATGTGTATTTCTAAGGTATTAATAGTTAACTAAATTGGAACAGAGTAATTTCACTCTTACTACTTACAGATCTATAGTATAGTATAGATGCCCTGTGTATCATTAGTGCAGATATACTGGAATTCTTTTCCTTATATGCAAGGCCAATGCAGGTAAAGACTAAATGGCTATACAAATTCAGGATTCCCCACTAAATAACATAACTAACTTAAAAAGCACTGGTACCAGACCAGCCAGTTTTAGGCACATCTTTAAAAAAATAAAGTATGCATTTCATTAATGTAAAAATGCGAGAAGATTCTTAGAAACATTTAAACTTTATGGGGCACTGGAATGGTAGTTTCAAGGAATACAGTAAAGGCTTAAAAAAAAAAAAAAACCAAACATCCCAAAACAAAAAAATACCATAGTATTCTTCACAGGGAAGAACAGTTTTAGTAAAACCAAGAAGATAAATAAGGAATAATAAGCAGCCATGACAGCTGACTGGTGAATATTTGTGCTTTAAATGTCCAAAAGAAAATAAAGTTCAATAACTCTTCTCGTACCATTCCCCAGACTCGGCATACGTGTCCGTAACACACAGCTCGACAGTTCAACACCCCACTGCAGACTTCAAGACTAGCTGTAGCTGTGGCAGGACGCACACAGCGGCACGGAAAGGCCAGCGGCAACTCCGGCAGCAGCGTTCGGTGTTGCAATTCCCAGCGCCACTGGCTGTCAGCTGGAACGCAGCTTTGGTTAAGACTGTTGTGTGAGCCGTCTGTAATGAGGTAAAACTTGGTTTTCAGGAAGATAGAGAGCCAGTTCCAAAGCTACAAGGACGGTGAATTCAAACCCGATGAGATCTCTTCTGTTGAATCTGAATCTCTCTTCTAGTTTCTATAGTAGTAATTAAAAACAGAGAGGGGGAGAAAGAGTCAGTTAATCCACAAGATACCAACGCACTGTAAGCCAACACAAAATGGGTCAGTGATGCTTGGCCAGAAGCTGCACCTACAGAATCAAAAGCGTTGCCAGGGACCACACAAGTACACCAGCTCAGCTGTGACACCCACACAAGTTACATACATTCGCCTGAGAAACAGTAAGTGCAAAAATAACCTCACTGTAAGATCAGTAGGACATTAGACTGCACCAGTCGGGTAGTTTTAAGGAATTAAAAACACCACCATCAAGGAAGAGCCCTAATGAGACATAAAACTGACTGAAAGAGCTGGTCTTAAACCCAGGCATGCACTGCTGGAAGTCCTGGCTTTCATTTTTGTCTTGTTCTGTGAACTAGACAGAAGGTTTTGACCACATCTGAAACGAATCTCAGAGTACTTACATCTATAAGGTGTTTAACTTCATGTTTCCTGAGATCACTGCTGATCTTGGCTGCAAGCAGAACGCAAGCACCAGCACACAGTTTGCGGTTCTGTTTGTTGAGTTTGCCTTGGAGGACGAGCTTCTCAAAGTAAACGTAAGCCATGGAGACAGTAACCGGCTCCAGACTGCACTCTTCACTGAGGTTCCGCATCTCTCTCTTTAAACTGGGAATAGGAAAAAAAAAAGACACTCTCTCAAACACAACAGCTTTTCTGAGATGCTCGAAAACGCTGCAGCGTGGGAACTCTGAAGAACATATGGGCATGGTTTCTATTTGGAAAACCTTGACGGGTATTATCCTAGACTGAAGAGGCCCCAGCTGGCAGCAAGCTGGAGCTGATGCACAAACTGATTTAACCTGGCTGACAACATCTCCCGTGGAAGAAGAGTTCCACATCTGCCTATAAACACCAGGGGCTTAGCTGCCCCACTGACACACAGGCTGTTTGAATCCCTCTGGGCTCCCAGACTGGTTTGTGATTCACATCGTTAAGGCTGAACTGCCCTGACCTACAGAATACCACATCAAAGCCGTGCAGATCACAGCTGTTGCTGCACAGAGACCTGTCCACGATACGCCTCGCGAAGGATCAGGTCTGAGGGGGAAGGCAGACCGGTTTACACACTTCCCGCAGCGGCTGGCCCTTCACTTCAGCATCCAGGAAGACTTCACGGTGGGTGCTACCTCTCATGGCTGGCTACACCTGCAAGAAGGTATCTGTGCAAGCACACTGCTCAAAACAGCTACAAAGAGGAGTGTGCAGGATGCTGGCAGAACACCCTCTGAGTAAGGCTCCCACTCAGAGTCCTGAGTTAGTGGTGATTCAGCAGAATCGTGTTTAAGCTGGCTATTTCAGAAGGCCCTGATTGCATTTACCACCGAGTAATACCAGCAAGATTACAGCTCTCGGAAAGCGCAACAGTGCATCTCGCTGATGAGCAGCCAGATGCCTTTCCTGGAAGATGTGAAATTCTGTGTGGCATAATCCCACCTTCACAAAATGCTTTTCCTCACTGAGAGTCCCCAGACCTAACACTCCTCTTTATCCCAGAATCTTGTTAGAGTCCATGATCACCACTCAGTCCAGTAATTGAAAGGCAAAAATAGCCAGAGGGTCTGGAGAGACAATCCAGTTAGAGTGGGACTGCACTACAGCCAATCAATCAGGTTACAAGTATTTGTTTCAAGGCTAATGCTGCTTCACTGTTAATTGGCTGTGAGCATTAGTATACCACAGTCGATGAAACAAAACCCTTTTAGGCTGAACTATGAAAAGCAACTGTTACCCTTTCTCAGCATCCTAAACATTCCTGTGCAGGGCTGTCATCCTACAGTCAGCTCAACTGGCAACAAGGGATTAGTGTTTAATCATATATACTATTAATAGATGTAGTATTTGCTCCATACCAGTGGAAGATAAAAGTAGCCTTGTACAGCACAGAAGATGTTCTCATGATTCAATGCTTGTTTCTTACCTCCTAATTTTGCTCAGTGTCAACTTGATATGAGGAAACTTCTCTCTAAAGGTTTCATTCATATCCTTTTTAAGGTCCGAGGGTTTCACATATTCTATGACTGTAGTCTGAAACGCAAGAGGCAAAATTTATTGTTTCTCTTACGAGCAGTACTGACAACCAAACAAGTCTTCCAAAGACACTAATGCAAAGGCAAACCTGAGTTTTATTATTCACAATTTAACATTTCTGTAATGTCCTAAGACATACACCATGTTGAATGTCTTAAAAGTCTTAAAAAACTAGTAATGGTTCAAAGAAGGAAATGACAACATGGAGATGCATGTCAGGTTGGTCCTCCACAAGCTGAGTGTACAAACCCAACTACTGGGATTTTTCCTAATCAACTCTCAGAAGCCAAAACTTTTTCTTCCTGGAGGAAGTTTTCTTCCTTGAGGAAGTTCTTTACAGGAGGATGTTCCAGGCATTCACTCGCTGCTCTCTTTGGGTGTGCCAGCCACTCACCATGTAGGAGGCAAAGATGAGAACACGTTTATGTTTTCCACAGGGCCATTGAGGATCATCCAGAAGATTTGGATCATACTCTGCAGTTTCCCCTGCTTCACTTCCTGAGGGAATGAGGGAAGTGCAACACTAGGCCACAAGATACAGAACTTTAAATTCCCCATTTCCTCTTTAAAAGAGGTTTTCAAACAGCAAGCATAAAAAGTGTCAGCAGATCTCATAGTACAGCCAAACTGCAGCTACAGAAACCAGTCTGCATTTCATAAATGCACCTGTCAGGTATTAGAATTATTAAAAAACACCACAAGCACTTTTTACAGCACGTACCTGACGCACTATTTTAGACTCAGTGCACGCTAAGTTTGTCATCCACAAATATGCACAGAAAACAACTGCACAATGCTGAATTCTTTTGCCTATAATCTAACAGACAGCAGAGTTGTCAGCTTTGCTGTTCTACACAAGAGAAGGGATTCTTGTCACAAGACTGGCTTACGCATCGTTACTGTGCTAGCAGGCAAGAAGCACCACCTGTACCCACGTACACGGGATGTTTCTTGCTAAGTAATATAAAACTTCACATTTCAAGGGAAATGGCTTTGCATTCCTTGAACTGTACAAACAGAACTAGGCCAGATATACAGAGGACGTGAGGAATGTAAGCAAGTCTCAGTTTTAAGGCTTGTGCTTCCTTAAGCAGCCTTCTTTGCTAGGCTGTGCTAAAAACAGTCTCCTTCCAGGTGCAGCACATCCTTCCTAATAACGCACTTGCCCACTTCCAGTTGTTTCAGACAAACATGCTTTTGTCATCATCCCTTTATGCCATCCCTTTTTGTCACCATCCCTTTATGCTTTGCTGCTGTGTGCACAAGTGGTGACAAATCCAGCGACTGTCCTTACCCATCTCTGTTCCTGCTGGTATAGTTTTTGATGTCACAGGTTTATATCTTGATCCGGGAAGACTCCGTGAAGCACTAGCTCGACACAAGGGAACAGCACTATGGCTGTCGGCTTTGCGAACAACTAGGGCATTGGTCGGGTACAAGAATTTTGCATAGGACACAACCTTAAAGAAGAGAAAATTATAGTAGTTATAGGGGAAAATGTATTGAAAAGCTTATTTCCAGACATCCAGGATTTTCAGACTCAGAATCTGCTGTAGCTTGTATCTGGGAGGGGGGACCCTGAAACTGTGGGACAGGAGGAAAGGGAAAAGTTGGACAAGGAATGCCTTGCTTCCACAGCTTCAGTACGGAAGCACTGTAGAAGATTTGGTGTGGTGGCAAAGGGGAGAATCACATCAGTATCATTCTGACAGTATATAAATTTAACTACGGGGTATAAATTTCACCCATAATTCTATCAAAACATCACTCATTGCCGGAGTCAAATAAATTCTTCAGGAACAGAGGCAGAAGTGATTGCAGGATCCAAACAGCCTCCTCAAAAGCCTTATCACAAGCCAAACATTTCAAACTAAGGATCTAAACAAACTTCCAAGGCTCTGAAAAGTCACAGCTCTCGCTTTACAGATAGCAAAGCACTGCATAAATTAAGGGATTTACCCCAGCATGAAACAACGCTGAGGTAAGAGCAGCCAGCTTACCCTCCCACTGCCCTCTGCTCCGGTCAGTAATTTTGTCACTGGCATTACAAATCAAGAGAAGGAAAAAAACCCGAGAAAGTATTTCCTTACCTTGCCATCAGCACCCAGCTCTACTCCTTCAAGTCCAAGCACCATCTCAGTGGAGACTGAAACTCCCCCAGAAGGATGTCGCTGCTTCTGTCCTTCCATTTTTAGATCACTAAATGCAGATAAGAAAGGGTGCTATTATAAACTGCAGCACAAGCCCAGCTTCCTCTGTGGTGAACATCAGGTCCCTCCACTAGCTACCACCAACACCTCCAGGTCAGAGTTCTCCAATGTGGGAACTAGGCCACCCCTCAATCCCACCTTCAAGAAAGCAATATTTTTTAACTACTCTTTTCAAACTGTGGAGATGTTCATTAACTGAAGAACCAGATTCCACCTCATTTTAACTCAAATCTGTACCAATGTATCAAAAGTAAACTGTTCTCTTTTTAATATGGTCTTTCTGCGTAAGACCATACCATTCCTAACACACTAATGCTCAAACACTTGCATTACTAGTTTTCCAGGATTAGAAACTTGCCTTTCGATTGCAATTTTCCAACCACTGTGCCCACAAAGCTCAAATTAAGAATTAAGGCTGCTAGCAGAACTCTGCTTCAGTGACAGCAGCAAGCAGCTTCGTCACCCATATCCCAATGCAAAAAAGCAGTTTTCAGTTGAAGAACTGCATTGCCACCTTACAAGCAGAACACCACAGTTCTCAGAGCTGCTCTAAAATAGCTCCAGTGACCTTGCTGCTTTTCTGTGTAGTGAGAGAATATTTTCCCATCAACTATTTTTATGGCAAGTGTATTTGCATACAATACAATTCCCACCACTGAACATCCGTTTCCTCCGTCCATAAGTTATGTGCAGGACAGAAGTGACAATACAATTGTTTCGCCAAAAGTGGATTAGAATGAGTCTTTTCTATGGTGTATCTGTAGATCACAGACCTTTACAGAATTAACTTAGACTTCACAAGGGACTGAGCAAAGCTGCAGGGAAATCCAGTTAGCAGGTTCTGTTTCTCATAAGTGATTGCAGACAGTTCTGGACAAAAGTGTAGCACAAACACTAAACCAGTTTCAAACAGTCTGAAGTGTTTCTGGTTTCCTCAGACTGCAGATGCTGACATTCATGGCTTAGAGCTGAAAACCAGAAGAGCATCTGAAACGTATTTAGGTGTAACTTCACTATAAAACCTTGAAGGTTTCTGGCGAAGGCAGCAGCATTGTTCCCTGATGATGCTGCTTTTTTGCTGACACAACTGATGCACTAAAGACACTTGATTTCTGACCACTTTAGGAACATAAGACATCCCACACAGCAACAAATCTCATCATCTGTTCAAAGCTGGTTTCAGGGATTTCCCAGGACTCATGTGCTTTACAATGTGAATAAACTCCTGAAGAAAAGTCTACCTTTTCCACTATTTTTCTCTTGGAGTTTGAATGAACACTTTGACGCTGTGGCAACATCCGATTTCACTGCTCTGATAACAAGCTCTTCTCCTTACATGTAAACGGTACGTTAAGTAAGTTCACCTTCTTCAAAAGAGGAGACCTACACCAACCATACTCATTTAAAAAGGTCTTTCACAAAGCAGCTAAAGAGGACTCACCTGATCCGTAAACTCTCCCCGTAAGGTAGGATAGAAAAAGCCACACACAGTGTTCGTTTAGCACAGATTAACACTATCCTGTAAGCAGATAGGAAAAAAAATCAGGGTAAGAAGTTACAAAGCAGCTTTTTACAGAACATGAACACAGAACTCCTCTTAAATTGCTCTGTAAGTTACAGAGATACACTGCCATGGATTTTATGATTTCAGAAAGCAGCACAAAAGCAGAGGTTTCATTCTGACCCTGCAGGTCCTTAGAGTCAAGCTCTAGATCAAAACCCAGAGTTCCGTAACTGCCATCACCTTGGGAGCTCCTCAAAGGAGATCCTAGTCTTTAAATATGTATCTATGTGTCATTTTTACATAAACCTTGCAAAAAGATGTAGGTAATATTTTACATTTAGGTGAAGTCTCACACCTCTATTAATAATAAATACGAACACAGCCTCCCCTTTCCCGTCTGCCCAGAAGCCATGAGCCAAGAATTTGGCTAAACCAAGCCACTCTCCTTACATCCTCCTCAGCTCTAAGCTCCGTGTACTAGGGATAAGGAGAGTGTTGGAAGAGAATGATTTAACCTCCTCGGAGCAGGATGGCAGAACCATCAGAATATTGCTGCAGATGTAGCAGCACCTACTGCCTTCGACAGATGTATAAAACTAACAAGACCCCAAGGACATCACCTAATTCCCACTGATACTAAATGGCTAATCACACTGAACTACCATGGCTGAGCATATCCTACTTCACTGAGTACAGAAGGCACCTTGACCTCCAGAAGTTACCTGCTGTTCTTGGTGTCATACTGCCTCATGTTCTTGATGAAGTGCATCTTCTTCAAATTTTTGTGTCTTGGAGACCCAGATATATGCTTGGTTCTGCAATTATATAAAAAAAAACCCAAAACAACAAAACCAAAAGCTGTTAAGTGCTCTGAAATAAAAGTCATGCCAGTTGTATGATCAGATGGCAGCACTAGCATGCAGGACCTCAGATATTGGTGTGAAAGAGGGTGGAGGGAGGAAAGGACTGCATGCAACGAGTTGAGATTAATGCTGCTTTTGAAAAAAAGTACCTTCGTACACTGGCATATTCCACTATGTCTTCTAAAAAGTCTAGAGAGCAGCGCTGGGAGATAAAACGCCTTCTGTAAAATGTACAACACCACGAAGAGTGAACAATATTAGTTCATGGCCTCTGAGTTTATGAACTGCAACAGATCTATGAGCTCTTAGGACAAATGGTAGTGGTTTTTTTGTTTTTTTTTGAAGAGCGCTTAACTAAGTTTCAAATTCCTAAAAAGGCCAAGAACTTGTCTCCTGTCTGGAACCCTTGAAATACGTATTTATACCAACTTCATTACCAAAAGCATTCACTATCTTCAACATATAAGAACGCTTATCTATAGGTTAAACACCTAAAAAGCTTCCAAATAATCACTTAGAGTCTTACAAGAAATATCACAAAAGCTTCACCCCCCCATCAACGCAAGGGAATAAGTCATTTTACACCAATCTGCAGACAGATACAGGTATATCTGTGTGATGACCGAACGTCTGCGTGCATTCTTGATTCAGAACACAGCTGTCTCCAGCTGCAGGAGTCAGCAGACTGAGAGTCTATGACAGCAGCTCAATAAAATTGACAGATCTCTCCAGAAAACAATAGGGAGGGTTATTACAGGAAGCAAAGAGTATTTGGTACACAACTGAAATCCCAGGGTGGAAGATGCAAGGAGAATAATAGTAGGAATCATGTGAGTTAGCGTAACAGTAATAGGATATTACAGTTAAGCAAAAAACACAGACTTTGCCAAAGTAAGATACATTACTATTGTCAAAGTCAAGTCATTCTTTGTTGGGAGAACTATGACTGAAATTTCCATAGGAACAATGCACCCAAATTCAACTGCCACCAGCAAAGTGCTGACACGACACTATCAGATTCCATTTTTCTGCTCTTGTTTAAGCATACATTATGCTACATTTTCAGCACAAGCCACATGCATTCAAGTCCAAAGTTGGCTTCCAAAGTGACACAAGAACTCAACTAATGGACAATATGCCATGGAAGTCAATGAAGAAGCAGCATACGAGAGAAAAGTTGCAGGACTGTGGTTGGACAAGATCTACTTTTGGAAAATAAAAAAAAAAAAAAAAAATCAAACTTTAAACTACATCAGAGCTCTGGCACCTGCGAGCAGCCAAACTGCTCAGACAGACCAAGGCCAGGCTCTCGTGCCTGGAAGTTAACATCCAACACCAAAGAAAAAGCATGGCACCTTGGATGGCTGCAAGGGGTGTGGGCAATACGGGGACAGAAAAATTAATAAATCCCATTTTTCTTGACAACAGCTACGGAAGAGTTTTTACACAGAAAATCTATTTGTAGCTTCAGTGGATTCCAGTTAGAGATATAAAAAAGCTTCTTGGGATTAAGTCTGGTCTTGAAGCCCAGTGTGTCAAGATTTTGAAACAGCTAGACAATCCTAGTCACTTTGCCTTTCCTCCTCTCCAGCCTGAGCTGGGTAGGAAACCAAGCCACGCTGCTGTGCTGCGATGGCAGAGATACACCAGAGTTCTGGACATGAACAAAGTCTCTCTGCTTTTTCCTAAGCACGGTGTCTAGAAACACCAATTTCTGTCTGAGCGAACAGGTGCTTTCACCGCTTTTCCATCTTTTTGCAAGTCGTTTTTCCTCTTCTGAGCTACTTGGAGCCTTTGCCCGAGCTGCCTGCCAAAACCTGTGCCAGCGAGACGTGGCGGTTTCCCTCCGCGTGGCACATCGCCATCGCAAGCAGCATCGCAGATGCACGGGACTTACTCTAAAATGACGCATTTCCACAACAAGCAGGTTACCAGCAACAGGGGCATTTACCCCTCTTGCTTCAAGCTATACCAGGAACACAAAAGCCAGAAGTTTAGAAAAGGTAGTGTTCTGGTATTCTTTCTTAGACACTGACAGAAATGGTACTTAAAACTGCTGATCTGCAGCTAAGTCTCTGCAATACGGTCTCTGGAGTTAGTTGTACATACCAATGATTACCTAGGGGTTTTGCAAAATGTCACTTCAGTCTGAGTATTCCTGAAACCAGGTTAGTTCCTCATTCCTCACTACAAGCTGATGAGAAACAATTCACCATCTTCTCTGTATTCTCAAGTACATAAAGAGAATGAATGCTAAACTAAGGAACATTCTTATTCCCAAAGTCTGCTTACAATCTCCTTAATAAAATATCCTCACTGCCCTTTCTCTGTGAATTTGTAATAACTTACACTCCTGTATATAGCTTTATTCTTTCCAGAGAAATAAATTCTCTTCAGATTCTCAGCAGTGCTGTTCAGGCACTCTTGAATGAGAGAGAGAGACCACAACTCTAACAGGTAGGAGGATGAAAAATGAGTGTCCCTTCCTGTAAACAAAAGAGGTAAACCCTCCCACACGACTAACACCTTCAGTATTGCTAGAGACTGCCTCCTACGAATCATCAGCTATTAAGGATACTACTGAAGAACATTCCTGGCACAGCTTCATCACCCTTCACTAGCACTTCAGCCTTAAAAATGTTCCTTTTTTTCTGCTTTTCCACGGGAACTGCACAGCAAGGTTGAACGCTTTCACACACACACAGTTTTCCAGTCTGCTTTGGCATCTAATCTGCAATAGAAAACCCCTCATGAAACATGGAGGCCAATCTCAAGCCTTCTGGTATGTAGTTGGTGATGTCCAGAGTCTTCCTCCCTCCCAGGGGAGACCTGGCTGGAAGCAAAGATGCTCTGTGTGGTGAGAAAGGGGAGACACAGCGAACGACGACAACAGGCACTGGTACAAAACCAGCACGTCGTTCTGTAAAAGGATACTGGTGTAAGTAACTGGACAGACTGGGAGAGCCATGGCTAGACCCTCAGCAGTAACTCCACAGTGCTGCAGGTGCAACTGTCCTCAGGGCTAATGGTGATGGTGGAGACCCACCCAGAGCACTGGGCCTTCCGAACGCCGCATTGTTTTCTCAGGAACAGGGACAACAGTGACAAACGCCAGAACCTGCTGTTCTGTAAGAGCGTATCTGGAAGCGAAAACCTGCTGCAGTGAAGGGAAGATCCTGCCCCTCGGCTCAAAACCACAATGACTCATCCCCACTCGGCAACAGGAAACTTCATTTTTAGCTACGCTTGGTAAATAGTATTTTCTGTCCTCAAGTGAAGCTGTCACCTTGGAGGAATCCCGGATGCTAAGCTAGACGCTCTCCCTCAAATCCCAAAACAAGGTGTAGAGGTCTCACTAGTCCAGTCAGAGCACCCCAGAACAGTTTGTATGCTCAAGCCAATGTTTTACAGCAACACAGATCCCTCGCTGCAGTCCAAGAGACCTCCTAGACTCCTCAGTACCACTGATGTACAGAACTTCCTTATTAGCTATGCAGTACTTGGAGTATGCTGCAAAATTTAACGCTTTTTGAGTAGTCTGCCCTTACTCTCATATATACACACACACAGAGACATATATATTTTCTTTAGCTTGAGTGCTCTTCTCATGCAGCCAA